CAACAACAACAACAACAACAACAACAACAACAACAACAACAACAACAACAAGAAACAGTACAGATGACCTGATTGAACTTTGTTGGATTTTTGTACCTGGATTATTGAGCATGAACTTTGATGTTACTTATTACTTTTAGAGCTTTTTGTTGCCTCTGTACCAAACGTTTTGAGATGTGTTGCTGCCATCAGATTCAAAGGTATCTTTATTTAGCCTAAAAACAATACAACTTCTTTGTTTCAACATTTGATACATTTACTGTCCTCCTGTAAATAGAATATGGATTTATAGAATTTGGAAATTCTTGCATTCCGTTTTATTTACATTTTACTCAACGACCCACATTTGTCTGAAGTGAGGTTGTAAAATTTGGTGTGGTGGTAGCTGAGACTGATCCCCAAGACACATTCTGAGCTCCAGCCAATTGCATTAGACCTTAATTCAAAATTTAACGCTTAGCTATTTGGAGTCAACTCTGTTAGCAGAAAATCTCATGATCCACTGGATGGATTTGAATGGAACATTCAGAGAGTAATCTTTGAATGTCTAAATAGCTTTAACTTGGTAAGTTTGACAAATATTGAGCTAAAAGTTAATAGTTGCAGAGAGTCATTCACAACACATACTCTGAGTGTAAGATTGAGTGATATCGCATGTGATTACACATAATGATGCTATTTTCAAGGTTTTACCAAAATGCCTACATTTTTGTCTCATTCCTTAATGATCCCAATCTAAAATAACTTCAAGGCCTTTTTATGTTTTTCAAGCGTTTCTTTAAATTGATTTGGATTTATTTAGCCTTACTGGTCGAAAGTCACAAATTACAGCTTTAGATAAAATTAAAAAAAATGTTAACTTGAATTCCTTTAAAGGATAAAACACACAGAGTAAACATGTAAAATTTTAAATCCTTTATTTAAAAAAAATGAGCAGAAACATTAAAATACTGTCTCTTGGTTTACAAGCAGAGAGGAAACAAAGTAATTCATCATTTATTTATAGAATATGTGACAGAGCTGCCTCAAAAGGAACTGTAAATTCACATTGTTCTGGGTCCAACAAACAACTACTTTGGTTAATTTATCCAAACGCTAAAGGAGAGAAAGACTTAAAGTGTATTTTGTTTTAATCCTGGACACAAAAACTCACTTAATCAGTGTATTTACACCATGGTAAAAGTATTTGCGTATTTGGCTGGTACATTTTAGTCACAGTAAATGCTCAGATATCATCACTTGAATCCTGTGAATAAAACTATATGAATCTAAGGAACAAAAAAACCCGTGTGAAATAAACATTTAAAGTTTTATTGCTGTGCATTATATTTTTCATGTTATTCGATAATTGTTAAATTCAACTTGGGAAAAAAAAAAGAACTAGATTGACACAATACCCCAAAGTCAAAACATTTCATAATAATAAAAAAAAATTAGGCATTTGTGATTGCATTTTTATTTTAGTTTATTTAGCTATGAGTTTAAATAAATTAGTATAGTTGCATGCTGCTAAAATCTATGACATTAATGAAATTTTATAGGATTATTGCACCATTTGTTGCAAACTGATGATTATCACCAGTAACCACCCAGTCATTATAACAAAACCAGAAAATAAAATGAAATAAAGCTCAACCATTTACTTAAAAAGGTTTGATAGAAGCCAGACTTAATGTTGTATTTGGGTGTTTGAGTAAAACAATAAAATAAAAAATCCTACTGCAAGTGTCCAGATTGAAAGCACATGCTGGTCGCTCGGATCTCAACAGTTTTTATTTGATTATTTTCTGCTCTGTCTCGACTCAGCAGCTCTGTGACACATCACACATCGCCTAAAATAAAACTGTAAAAAACTGGATTGTTCGGTGGTTTGAGGCCTGAGCTGGATTGTTTCTGGGCTCATGAAACCAATAACAGCTTTGTTTTTCAGCCGCTTGGATTAACAGACTTTCTAAATTATAATGTATTTCACTCTGTCTGACTGTGGTTAAGAAACACGAATTAAAAAATACTCCACATTGGTTTGACATATTCATGTTGTCACACTTTGATAATGTTACCGAACAAGACATATGTTATTTATCGTTGAACAAATAAAAAACAATTGAAAACTGAATGTTTAGTGTTGAGGTTTAATACTGCGTTTTATGAAACAACCTTCATTTAGTAGCTACTGTACATTTTATAAAAATAATGAGTGAGATTAAACGTACTGTATAAAATAATAATAAAAAAACATTTAAAAGACATTTGATAATACAGTGGCACAAAGATATATATATATATATATAAATGGATAATTAAAAATACTCCCTTTGCCACTGTGAATAGTCCTTTTGTGACAATAATCTTTCAGCTATTTCAGACAATATTTAGCTTTTAATTCCTACTAAGGACAGGTGTTGGTGTAAAAAAATTGCATTTTTGATCCCATGCGCAGCTCAACCTTTACCGTCTCTGTCTTACTAAACCCCGTTTTACAGTAAATCAACGTGGACTTTTTGCCCTTTGAGGTAAAGTTGTTTCTTAAAGGGATAGTTCAGATCTTTTGAAGTGTAGTTTTAACATCTTGGTGTAGATTGTTATTTGAATGGCCTTAGTTTAAAGAAGTACAGTTTAATTTTGACCAGACTGATGAGAGATCTGCTCACCTGAGCGCGGCCAAGAACAAAGTGGATTCCTGCCGTCTTTAGAAAACTCTAATCTAAACGCTTGCATTGCAGTTTATGCAAAACGGGCTTCATAAATCTTTACACGACCATCAATCTGAAAATATACAGTTATATAAATGAAATGTTCTGGTTATTTTTTTTTAGCACAAATGGTGACATCAGTTAGTAGCTGCAGCACTTTGGTGCATCCAGGCCAGGAAGTGATAATAATCTGCTGGGATAACTGTGTAATATAAAATCAATGGCGATGTAAAGGTTTATAAAATAGCATTTGCTCAAATTTTTTTCTAAAATTTCTGAGAATGAGGTTAGTTCAAAATGGTAGAAAGTGATTTGGATTTATCAGTCTGGTTAAAATAAGACTATTTCTCCAGTCGTCTCCAACAGGTAAGATGTTAATTACTCATAATTGTTCAATAGAACCACACTTCAAAAGAGCTTCACTATAAATGATTAATTATTTACTGACTAAAAAATGTGTACTTTATGTTCTTCTCATGCTCAATCAAGGTTATGAATCTAAAACGTGCAACAACAACAAAAAAAGTTGCACAAATGGAATTTTTTCTCCCTGTGTGGCAAATGTCCTTTGAATTAAAAAGTGATTCAATCCCTCGTTCATTCTTGCACAAACAGAACCAAAATACAATTATCTAAATGGCTTTGCCCCCTGTCGTGAATGTACATGAAATCCTTGCTCGTTTCTTTTTACAGTTTACATACGTTTCCTCTGTTTTGACCTTAAAGTGATGCCAGAACCGAGTCCTAATGAACAAATAAATTCAAACGCTCCGGCTCGTTCCTGTAGTTTGTCTCATCACCCTCAATCAAGAAGGAATGGCGCATTCGCCTCAAATCAACAGAAGCTTTTTTTTTGCATTTATGTTTGGAAAACCCACACATTAGAATGCCAAGAAGAAAAGTGGGAGACTTTTATGATGTGGCGATGAAGAATAAGCAGGTGATATGAGTGACGGAGGAGGAAGTGAAAACTTTGGCTGTGCTAAGTGTAAAAGCGTGCTCAGTGCAAGTCCCAAGGACGTGACCACAGAATTTCCTTTGGTGTTTGCAAATTGAACACTTCTTCATTTGACCAACAGATAATATACGAAGCTCACAATGAGGCAAGAAGTTTCCCAGAGTCAGCAGCTTGTATTTGAAACTGAACTGACATAAGGTTCATGTTTTTACAGCTGGGAAATTAAAAAAAAAAGGACATAAAAAGTCTTCTAGAAGGCACAGAATCAGAGTTAGTGCATGTACGCCACAAACACACTTCCTGTTTGGTTAGTCTCTCAGCTCATATGTTCAACACGCGTCCCGTTATTCCAAAAGAATTGCATTTGGTGCTTGTATAGGTAGAGGAGGTGACTGCTTGGATGTTCAGAAAGACCAGCGGTGGTGCTGCAGATGGTTTGGATGAGGCTCTGCTTCTGCAAGCAGTCCGTAGAGAGCTTGTTTGCAAACATCCAACGCAGTGGCGAGGAGGCACAGAGGTCTGACCTGGGATTTCAGCTCAGATCTGAAGAATGCTCGACACTCCTTGGGTTTAGTTCTTCTGGTTGTTGCGTCTTTTGGACTTTTTAACCCTGGAGATTCAGACATAAAGATGAAAATGTTTTATTTGTGCTCTTCAGGTTGACCAAATGACAAAGTTTTTATGACATTTTGATGCAAGCATTCACTTAATTCAGATGTTTTTAGTTGGTTTTGTTGGAAAGACTTGTTAAATAAATAAAAAGATTTTGAAGCGTGTGCATGTTTACTTCCCAGTCTAATTGTGATTCAAATTTAATCCTAAATGCTAGCAACACTGTAGTTCTCGTATTTTTCAGACTATAAGGCGCATTAAGCAAAATGAAACAGATAAGTTCAACTTTATTCAACTCATTCACAATAACGCAACATTGTTCAGTTGTACCACATAAAATCGGTTTGAGGTCAGTGAGCACAACCAGAATTAATACAAAAGGCACAACTGATTATAAGGCTCACTGTTGATTTTTGAGGAAATTAAAGGATTTTTAAGTGTGCCTTATAGTTAAAAAAAAATACTATATGTTGTTTTCCCATAAATCTAGGGCAACCATTCCTTCTATTAAAACACTGAAAGATGATATAGAATTTGTAGACACATACAAATATCTTGGTATTTGGCTGGATAAAGATCTTAATTTTAAACATCATATTAGATATTTTATCAAAACGCTCAAATTTACTGTTTTTTGTATAGACTGAAATCATGTTTTTTTATATATATTTCTGCCTTTAAGTGGCTTGTAGTAAGTTTGTTTTTATCACAGCTGGACTATGAAAACACAATCTATAGATTTGTCTTCCTCACTACCTTAGATAAACTGGACTCTATTTACCAAGCTGCTCTGAGGTATACTGTACAACAGGTTCATCCTTTAGGACTCACCGTTGTACTTTATATGCCCATGCTGGATTTACTTCACTCAATATTCAAAGGAAGAAACACTGGTATATTTTCATATACAAAGCCCTTTTAGGAAAATTACCATCATACATCAACTCAAAGTTGATTTCACTCCAGAACACAGTCTCAGGACCAGGGCTGTGGTTTAATGTACCCTTTGTGCACACAGAGACAGGAAAGATGAGTTTGTCCTATTTCAGCCACTGGTCTTGGAATGATCTGCAACTTAAGTTGAGGTTGGAGTCTTTTATTCCTTTATTTATCAGTAGTTTTAAACAAAAACGGTCTGAGGTTTTAGTCACATCTTGCACCTGTAACGTTTAAGTGTCTTAAATTGTGATTATTTTTTAAAACTTGCATCGTCTTTTATGTCTTATTACCAGATGTTTTGTTGTAAATATTTTAATGTTACTGTTACTATTCTTAAGACTGTGTTGCTGTATTGGAACGACTTGTTTGCACCTTGCATATTGTCCAGAACATCCTTGTAAAAGAGATTAATAATCTCAATGGATTTCTTCGTGGAAGAATAAAGGTTTAAAAAAATATTCAAGCCTGACCGTTTTTGGATAAATCAGTCTTTATAAAATGGAGGGAATAAGAAGAATAAGAAAAGAAAAAAACATAAAAAAGAAGTAACCCAGATGTTCCGAGGTAAATGTAAGTTTTAATTTTTTAAGTATTATAGTACATTGATGTGGGGTTTTTTTTTGTGTGTAAATAAATAAAACAAAGATATAGAATCAGGAAACATGTTTTTGGAGCTCAAACATAAAGAAAATATCAAGTGTTGATTAAATGTATTGTCACGTTTCATCTATAATGCCCGTTTTAACGTTTCTTATTCTAAGCCTAAACAAACTGCATGCAACTCTTTAGGCTTTCCAGAGACTGTTTGATGGGCGAGCACAATTGTGGTCTACCAGAGTTGACTTTTTACTGGGTTTAATCCGCCAGATCCCTTGCACAAAGTCCAGAAAGCCTTCATCACATGTTTTCCATCACGTTCTGCCTTCTTTGCACTTTATTCTGAGATCCCTTCAGAATATTTGTGAAAACATGTCAGACCTAAAAGATCCTCCTGCCTTGCAGGGCATTTGTGTCGGGGCAAAGTTTGAACCTTTTGGGATTCGTTCAAAAAAGTCAAACTTGAAAGATAAAGCTTGAGAATTCCAATGCGTTCTTGACTCTGCTTCACTGGAAATGTTTTGCTTAAAGTTCAACCGCAAAACTGAAATTTGAAATCTACTAAAATCTACAGGAAGTATGGAAAAATGCAATTTATAAAGCTTTATTAGTCTCTTTTGGGTTAATAAGGGCATTTGTAACTCCCAATGAATCACTCTGAGACAGAAAACACAAAGATTTACTGCACAATTTCTATTCAGATGCCCTTAACGTTACTTATACATATTTTTCAGTACTGTGCTGAATATCCAGTTTGACAAGTGTTTGCAGAGATTCTGGAAATGGGAAGCAAAGGATGAATGCATGTACCATATTTTCCACCGTATAAGTCGCATCAGTCCAAAAATGTCTAATAAAGTGGGAAAAAACATAAATAAGTTGCTTCGTATTATAAGTCGCATCTATTATGTGTCACTGTTGACGCGTCGCATTTGTTATGCATCACTGCTGACCACCCGGAAACATGGGCCGGTGTTGTGCCAAAAATCGATTGGATGCCAAAATGGTGGCCGCAGGAGCATGCACGGGAGGACTTTAACAAGAATTTAGCAAGATTAACACTTAAAAACAATTATTTGTTTGCTTGAAATTATAGCAAAGGTGTGTCTCAGTTGCAACCAATTTCATTAATAGTCACTTTTACCTATTAATGAGAAACTTGGCTTGCCGTAAGGCTCAAGGGCCAGGTGGAAATAGTAATGTTTAATATTTTTCACATCAGAATGAATGAAATCATCAGATCTTAGCCAAACATTTAATTAATATGGGGGGAACAAAACTCATATTAGTCACTTCGGTGTATAAGTCGCAGGTCTTGCAAATTATGCAAAATGGTGCGATTTATACGGCGAAAAATACGGTAACTGCACGTCTTTGCTTCTTTGACACTCACAGTTTTTAACACCTTTAGGATTTTTTTCATCTAGATTTTTCTAAATGCCTTGCAGACACCTTCTTTTTTTTATTTTTCACAAAGCACTAGGTGTTTATGTTGTTTTGGGATCCTGATTTGCAGCATTTGAGGTAATCACCTTGAGTTATGACGGGAACTTTGTCATTATAACAGCAAAATAACTGGACTCTCACCGCAGCACCTTCAGTCGTAGACTGAGACCACCGAGGTGCTCCACAGAACGCCACAGGAAGTTCTTCCTCCCTGTGGCTATCAAACTTTTCAACTCCTCACCCTTTTCTACACATAAAATTAATCCTGTACTACAATAAACACTTTAATGTTTCTGTCTGCACCTGACCTGTTTAGCACTTACTTGTTGGTATTTTTACTATTTTCTCTGGTATGTTTTATATCTTGTGTGATTCCTTGTGTATGTTCCTTTGTATTGAAACTCTGGCACAACAATTTCCTACGGGATCAATAAAGTTCTTATCTTAAATATCGTACTTTCCGGCGTATAAGTCACAGAGTTTGCATAGATTTGTCAGTCCTGCGACTTATACGTCCAAACGACTTATATACATTTTTTTTCCATATTCATAATGCAATTTTGACTGACGCTTTAAATTTCTAAGACCTGCAACAGCGAGTCCTCCCATGCAAGCTTGCTTCACTCAGCTGGTGCAGGCGGAGGAACACTGGAGAGCTAGCTGCTTTGGCAGTGATGGATGGATGGATGGATGGATGGCGCCGCACCACCCAGGCGAAATGAAACTGTTTTGATCATTAAATAAACACATAATAAACACGACGTATCAGCAGTGACGCATAATAAATGTGACTTGTACGCCGAAGCGACTTATATATGTTTTTTTTCCCTCTTCATGATGCTTTTTTTTTTTTTTTTACTGACGCGACTTATACGCCGGAAAATACCGTAATGTAAAATAATTTAAAATTAGTCAAAAGCAGTTTGAGCAGTTTCCTCCCAACCATAACAGCTGTATTGCTGATGTGCATCTAGTGGTGAAAGTAATGAAAAATGCATAAAATTAAAAACCATCTTACTATAGTGTATAAAAAATAAACCGACATCGAACCATGATGTGATGAAACGTGGGCGAAACCTTGTAGATTATTTGAAAAAGAAACATGCAGATAAAATATTTACCTTTGATCATCCTTAGTGGTAGTTATTTCACTGTCAGCAGTCTACAGAGTGAAAAGCCAGTGTTTGTGAATAAAAAGAGCGATGGGGGGTTTTTCTTACTTGTTGACGGCGTTCTTCAAGTACTGCTGCAGCCACTTGGTCTCTGGGTTGATGCAAACTTCTCTGTTGCTCTTCAGCTTAGCACTGTGGGAGAAAAAGTCAAATTAGAAATTAATTACATCCGTTTCCTGAGGGAGACTTTATGTGATCATTCCTGTTAGACATGCAGATAGACTTTTTTTTTTAATTTTCCAGTTTCTGCCCTCGCTCTGATGTTTATATGAAGCTGAAGCAGCAGAGATGAAGAGGAAAATTGAGTTTCATCCAAACGCACATAGAATATATCAGATCCAAGGACATCACTGGGGGATATTTATACTTCGGGGCCTCTCAACATCTGGTGATGGTGTACATTATACTGGGACTGAATCTAATTTATTGTCTGAGTGCTCAATCAAACCAACACAAAACCTCTTAGCAACCATAATACAACGTAACATTTTAAGTAGAGGAACTCATTTAGGTTCATGCTTTGTGTCTTTTACAATTGTGCTGAAAATTTTACACAATAATGCAAAAATAAAAAAATAAAATTCTGTTCCCAAGTCAAATGTCCTGAAACTAATACTCCCTGAACACTATATTTTTAAACCTGTTGTAAAAATGATATCCCATCTTCTTTGGGAGATAAATCTATAAAGTGAAAATATGCTTAAAAGATGATGACCTCTGTACCAAATACACTTTTAGTGTTTCTCTCACTGTTATGTCTTTATTTATTTAATTATTTATTCCAGATAATATAAGTTCTCTTACAGCAGTTTATTTCCCCCCAAAGATTTTTAGTGGACTTTCGAACTGGACTTACTGCTGGCCAGTTTTATGCGATACATCATTTCTGTCTTTAATAAATTCCCGCACTTTTATGCTTCCTGCCACTGTTCTGCTGAAAGAGAGTCGGTAAATAAAAAATTAAAGTTTTTACTCAAATTTTATTTAAGTCTGAGTAACCAACTTTGCTTGAGAACATTCTTCTTTGTTTTAATCCATTACAGTAAAAGAAGCAGCAAAAAAGCAGAATAATATAAAAATATCCATGTTTTATTATTTCCTGGTCAGATTTTTCCTGTAGCATCCAACAAGCACCGCAGCCTCCTGTTTGGTTCAGTGTGCAGCGAACTGATTCAGCCCGAAGCTTTAGGAAACTTGAACATCCTCAAGTCTTTCAAGTGATTCAATTGGAGTTTTTTTCTTGGTAATTATCCTTTTGATTGAATTTGTTATTCTTATTTTTTTAATCATCTTTAATGTGTCCACAAACAGCTCATTTAATTATTCAGGTCGTTTTCATGAACATTCTGCACTGATACATCACATTAGATCTTTTTTTTTATAGATTAAAATTTCAATTCTTTTTTAAAACTCCATACAATTTTCTTGAAAATAATAATATATGAATTAAAAAATAAAAACATCTATTTTTCATTTATGATTTTTTTTTTTTTTTTTTTTTTTACAGTTGTTTTTTTATGGACTTTTGATGCAACACTTTCACTGTTCAACAGAAAACGGGCAACATTTTGGGACCACAAAAGCACATTTTCCCAATAATAAATTAAAAATTGGTAAATAATTTCCCTTCTCTTGTACTTAACTGTGTTCACATGCTGCAGCAGCTGCAGGCACATCTGCATGCTGGCCTTTTAGTAACGTCTGACTTGGTGGTGGAGTGAGCAAGATTATTATGATACTTGTTTTTGTATTCAGACACCAGTGGGTGAGTTTCAGATCTGATGGGACAATGGGTGGGGGGGTGGGGGGGTGTAACAGGCAGTGATGTTTTGAACCCCTCCAAACATGTGGCCATCACACCTCTTTGGTAAAAGTTTGTGTATGTGAGTTAACAGCTCAGAGGTGTAGCTCCTCACAGCTCTTTTCCTCCTCCCTCAGTCTTTCTGTCACACAGCTGTAAATTAAATACATTCCTGAGCAGCTCAAGCTGCTCCCCTCTTCACTGCGTTCTGCTCCAGCTTCATATCTTTAACTCACCACTTCCATCTCTCCTCAACCCGTTTACTCGTTAGCCATGAACAAATGGGCCTTGAGCTTAAATGAGCGCCTCAGGAACATCCGTCCCAAATCCTTCAAACTAAAATGATCCAGAAAACTAAGCACCTCCGTAACCAGATCTGTGTTTGTTTTTCCTCCAGGGATGCTGTCCCCCCCCCCCCCCCAGTTTATTAGCGAGTGGCATCTCATCCATTCGGAAGCAGTTTGATGCGTCTCCCTTCATCCTGTTTATCTGTCTGGGTGGCACTGAAAGACCAAACTCTGATTGATTTGGTTGGAATTTGAGAACCGGAGGCCCACGAACAGCAGGTAGTAATTACTTCACAGCAAGTTTAAATTAACAGCGGGCTGGGGGGGTGGGGGCACGAGTCGGGGGTAAAGGATGAGGGCACACGGTGAGACACACGAGATATGGGGATACAAGGTGCTTTGATGGAGCAACAATCTGCAAATTTTTCCCTGAATGACTTCTTGACTCCTCTTTTGGGTTTTCTGAAAGTTTGTGGCCTGGCCAGAGAGCAGCTGGTCCTCTTTGACCTTTTGACCTTTTATCCTGCCTCTCTTTTTTGTGATGGAGACCCTACAACTGTTGTCTTTGGCTGCGAGGCTTTGGCTGTCCAGTTATCTACAACAACTGATGAGATTAATATGTTCCAGAGCGGTGACGTTACATGCTGAGCAGTTTCAGGTGTGTAGAAGTAGGATAAGAGACAAAAAGGTCAACGGGAATGCAAAGAATGATTTTGACTCTTAGATTATTGCCTCCTTCACGCCTGCTTGAGCTCTGGTGCTTTCCTCTCTGCTGTTTTCATTCAGGGAAAGAGATGGATATTTACACTTTGTCTGTTTCAAGTTTGAAAATGAAGTGAAATTAACAGCTTGAGAATAAATCATGAAATGTGAGATCAGCTGGTCAAGTTTACCAACACTTTTAATTCGTTTGGGATGGCATTAAAGTCAAAATGTGGTTTTTTTTATTTAATTTAATTCAATTTTATTCCCATTCAGCTGATCAGGCATGAGTTAGTGTCAGCCATAAGAGCCTATTAAAACAAAGAACCAGCTAAAATATTAAAACTTTTTGAAAATTTCACGTTTAAAAGCATTTGATCCATCTTTTTGCCCCGTTTTTATAAACACATTTAAAAAAAAATGTCTTTTTTTTTTTTTTTTTTGGTGAAACGACATTTTTGGTTTACATAGTCCGAAAAAAAAAAAAATCACTAAAATACAAAGAATAAAAATGATCAGCTCAGACATGAATCGTGACATTAAACAATAATCAACCGGAGCTGGAAGCGATGACTTACATGACTTGGAAGGGGCAGTTTGGTGTGTGTAGAAACTTGAGCTCCTTGATGGAGCGCTGAGGAACGGTGTTGAGCGTGGAGCGACACCAGCACCGCTCGATCAGACTGATGGGCTTGGCTGCAAGAAAACAGCACACGAGAAAAACTTCACAACCAGCTCAGGCACCTTCAACCACCAGTAAAAATCTCTCACTGACTCCAGAATAACAAGATGCTTCTTTAAAGCTGAAACGCCCGAGAGGAGAGCTTACCTTTTACATGAAACACATCTAAAGTAATTTAAGGTGCACCTACTTCATGCATAAAAATGCACGTCAATTAAAAAGAGATTATTCTCCTCCACACACACATGCATGCACATACTTTGAGCCCATGCAGCCACTCGAAAGGAGAAGGGTGTGATGCAGCTGAGACGGCCTCGGCAGCCAAATCAACTCGAGTGCATTCTTATATATGGTTACAAATCCCCCCTGCGCCTCCATGGATGCATGAGGAGCAAAGTGCAACCACTTCAGATGCTTCTTAAAAAAAAAACCTTTTTAGAACAAAGTTCGCTCAGCTTTAGAGGAAATTGTGTTTAAAAGAAGTCACAAAAGATGTAAAAGGGCGACCCCTTTCCTATTTCTGCTGCTTTTTTCAAAAACGCCTAAAGAAGTGACGAAAACTTTCATAGGCTTAACATTTTTCAGGCCGTTTCATTTTCTTTTGCATTTCCTGCACAGATAAATGAACATCACAGCAGATTGATGCTCTGGCGTTTGACGCTCAACTGTTGATGTGCACGTTCTAAATAAAGAAAAGACAAATGTTCTTCCACAAATGGATAAATCCTCGGTAATATCAGCCTAATGACTCGCACCCATTCAGGGCCTTTTCTAATGCAAACGAGGGGATTATTATGCTGCATGCAGTTCTGGGGCTAAACTCCTATCACCTCCTCACTTCTTAGCCCTAATTAGAAAGTGATTATAAGAAAGCAAAGAGAGAGGACAAACATGCACATGCACATGAGCTCTCAGTGGGGTTGAAACAACAAACTGTGCATGGTGCAGGCGGCGCTGCAGCCTGTTAGGGTTAACACACAGATTGATGTGGGGTCACTGAGAAGGCAGCTCAGCATTTATTTTTGGAGATTTTAATGAATTTACATTATACAAGGATAAACTGTTAGACTCAACTAGATATAAATCTCTGACAAAATAATTTAGCCAAAAATAGTAAACACTGGGATTAATAAAAATTCTGATGTTCCCTTTGTTTCAGAAATGCGCATTGTCTTCTGCCTTTTTCTTCAAACGTACTGTATGTTTAACAGATTTTAGATCTCTCTTATATAAAACTACTTGGGTGAAATGTTCAAAAATAAACTATGAATATAAAACAAAAATAGTAAAAGTATTAAATTCAAGAAGGAGAAAAGCATAATTGTTATACATCTCAAGTTAAATAATGGATTAATTGATTTTTGATTAATTCTTTGCAGACATATTCTTGTTTTTAGTATTTATATTGTTTTACAATATAGCTTGTTTCTATTTATTTTTATTTTATATGCTTTTATGTGATTGTCTGTACCTCATCTGTGTTCTTTGTCTAAAACAGTTCTCTCTTGTAAATGAGTGTGTGACTCAATGAGACTAACTTGTGTAAATACAGCTTTTCCCAGGACATCCTTTTAAAAGAGATTAATAATCTCAATGGATTTCTTAATGGTAAAATAAAGGTTTCAATAGAAAAATAAAAATAAAAAAGTTAAATGAATTTGAAATGGGCGTTTACATTGAAAACAAACCCGAGTTGTCTGCAACAAGTGAAAATCGACAACCACACACGGTTTTACAGCTCAATATATAAACCCTTTAAAAACATAATAAAGTTATGCCTTAATTAAATAAATTTGAGTGCATGTAAACTTCTTCATAACTGACTGGACACACGTTTTCCCACCTTCAAACTGAATCCAAAAATAGGAAAGTTTTGCACATTCACAATAAAAACGCTTTAAAAGATTAAAGCATTTCAGTTACATTTGTTAATTTAAAACATTATAATGCCTGTAACGTTGCTAAATTAAAACATTTGCATTTTGAGCTCACCCTCTGCGGTTGGACCATGTGTGGCGATGGCCATCAGAGCCATCAGGACCAGCAGCTTCACGTCCATGGAGGCTGCAGGAGGAGAGCTGCTTCTCTGTCTGTTACAATCCAGCGAACAACTGTGGCCGTCAGCCTCGCTCTGCCCTCTCTTAAAGCTTTGGATGGGAGGGAGAGTGAAGGAGGGGGGAGTTCCACTTTCTCAGGAGGGAGAGGTGGGGGTCCCAGCATGGGAGGAGAGGAGGAGGCAGACTTCCTCAATTGTAAATGTATTGGCTGGGAATCAAGGAGAAAGAGGAATCTTTTTCTTTTAGTTTTGCTGCTTCGTCACCTCTTGTTGTGTTTTTTGTCTTCTTCTGTCTTCTATCTTGTCCTTCCATCTTTGCCTCTTTCTGCCACACACAGGGACACACACATGGATTACAGTTCAAGCAGTCAATCACAGCCCACTGTGAGAGGCAGAGCTCCCTGCTGTTGGACTAATATTGTTCTAGATGTTGTCTTATTGTTTGCTCGGACACAGAATCCTTCTCTGCACCTCGATGACTCCCTGTCCTCTGACTCTGCTCCCCTCCTCGACACATGCTTCATGTCTTTAATTGGCTCTACGGGACTGTTCTTTGTCTGCTCTGTGATGAAACCATTAGGGCTGATTGTTTGTACCATAATTAGGAGACAGAAAAAGCTGTTCTGAGCTCAAAATTGATTTCTTTAGACTCTACAGACTACCGTACTTTCCACCGTAAACATTGCACTGCCATATAAGTCGCATCAGTCCTAATATGTCAAATAAAGTGGCAAAAAAAAAAACATAAATATGTCGTTTCGTTGTAAAAGTCACATCTATTATTACCCGCTGACACGTTTGTTATGCGTCAACGCCGACAACCTGAAAATGTGGGCCGGTGTTGTGCCAAAAATCGATTGGTTGCATGGGGGCCGCGGGAGTGTGCACAGGAGAACTTTAACAAGAATTTAACAAGATTAACACATAAAAACAATTTGTTTGCTCGACATTATAGCAAAGGTGTGTCTCAGTTGAACTTTTCCTTAATAAATGCACTTTAATGGTCAAATCAGCTGCATTTCGCATGGGCGGTGCGGAGAAATGCAGCTGATTTGACGTTCGCTCCAGGAGTTCCAGAGCGAGACAAAGGTTGCTCTGTATGGCAAGCCGAACATCTCATTAATAGCCACTTTTACCTATTAATGAGACACTTGACTTGCAATATTACTCAAGCGCCCTCTAGTGGCTGAAAATGACAGTGTTCAAATTTTTCCATGTCAGAATGAATTAAATCAGCTCTCAACCAAAAATTGTCTTATAAATATGGGAAGAAAAAACATAGACGCATTGCTTTGCCGTATAAGTCGCAGTCATGCTAATTTAGGCAAAAAGGGTGATTTATATGGCAAAAATTACGGTACTTCTTTTGGCTGAGGTTTGCATGTTCTGCAGTCAAAATCATGAACATCTAAACCAGTTTTTATAAATTTAAAGACCATATATCATTTTGAGGCTAAAATAAGAGAAAAAAAAACTAATTCTACGAGACATATCAAAAATCTTGGAGTTTTTTTTGTGTCAGTGACGTGAACGTTGTTTTGTTTTATGATACAGTGGCAAGATAAAGAACCTGCACAGGAAGAAATGGTTTAGATAAGTTGCTGCTTCAGAATGAAAATGTTTCTTTTTAAACAAATCTCTAAAAAGTCCAGGTCTGATCGTTTGATAAAGCCTTAAAACAGAAGGTTTGGTGAATTGTTTATTTACAGTCTCAACAGATTCTTATAGAAAGTCAGCAGAGGCTGATCTAATGTGAAAAAACACAAAGATAGAATTCACAAAATGCAAAATGTGTGCAGGACATGCAAATAAATAAGTGTCAGCTGAAAAATATTTAGTTTAACACCACATGTTCCTATTTTTTAAGTTTTTATTTAAACCTCAAATTATTATTTATTTCTCATTTAAAATTATGTTAAAATATTATCATCACCATAGTGAAAGAACTGCTCACAGAGTGAATGAAATATTGAGATTAAAACAAATTTAAGAGTGAAACAGCTTCAGGTGTTTGTTGATCGAGCAGAACTTATTTAATATTGTATGAGCTTAAAAGCAAATAAAACAGCTGGACGGACTTCTGCAGTGAATAAAAGCGCTTGAAGAAACACATGAGATTCTTCACGTTTCACAAATACTTGATCTGATGGTGAGCTTCCAGCTCCATCTTGATGGAGCCGTCTGGAACATCTTGAGTGTACGTGCCTGAGCATGCGTGTGCGCATGTGGGCTGTTATACAAAGTTTGTCCACCTTTGTTTGGTCGCTCTGAATTCATCAAATTAAATGAAGAAGAAACTAAAAACACCTCTTTGTGCGTGAACTCCATGTCGATGTAGTTGGTGTTGATTTAACCTCCCTCCTCATCAGGAATAAACCACACTCTGCTAAGGACCGCTCATCAATTCATACTCTTCCCCCCCCCCCTCTTCAGTTTACAGGCCCAAACCAGTGAAGCGTGCTGAGAGCCTCCGCAGGTCTCAGGCCTGCTGCCGACTATAAACCTGAGAGGTAGTTTTCAGTCTGCCGCAGATTCATCCACTCCGCAGGCCGTTAGCGAGGAGATGAAACACGACGTATCTGGGAACAAAGCTCTGTTTTACACAGAGTTAATATTTTTTTATGTTTTAATACACAAGTACTGTGGAAACAGTTTAATTTCCAGTTTACATCCGACATTATAAAGATGTGCATACAAGGATGTTTTTAATATATCTTTGTTAGTTTTACCTCTTCCATTAACTGATTATATATATATATATATATATATATATATATATATATATATATATATATATATAATAGCTGATTTATGATTTTTTAAATATAATTTCTTCAATTTTTTTTCATTTTATATGCTTTTATGTGATTTTCTGTTGTTGTGTGTACCTCGTCTGTGTTCTTTGTTTAAATCAGTACTCTCTTGTAAATGAGTCCTCGAGGTTCAATGAGACTAACCTGAAGATATAAAGGTTGAATGAATGAATGAATGATTCTTTCCACTTTCCTCAAAGAATTGTTTTTTTTTTTGTTAACTCGCAAATAAAGAAAACAATAAGAACAAGAATATTCAAACACAAGGTTGTTGAATGTACAAATTATAGCAACAGACAACAAATTGAAATAGGTTTTAATGATGTCTTATGCTCTTTAATTCATATTTTCAATTACATTTTCTAATTAAATCCTATATGCACCTTTCCAATGGATGTAAAATAAATTTCTGAAAGAATAGAATTACATATTTTTATACAAAAGTTTGTCTTCAAATTAGCGTACAGCAGGGTCTAAGGAAGTCACGTGTATATTTTTATAAATATAGATTTAAGAGAAGAGGACAAGCTTAAATAAACAGAGTAGTGCTCAGTTATCAAAATTTAGCTGCAAAATAAGAAATTAAAAAGAAAGTAGGCTTACTGTTTATCAGCCAGTGACTCTTTTACTCCCATATCACAGCATTTTTCAAATAGCCTATTGACAACACATAAACAATGTTGTGGCCTTTGGTTTTGATGTGCCACAGTCTACAATTGTCAGTGACCTCCAAACCTCAACAGAACCAAAGTTTTTATTTAATGAAGCACAAAAACAAATATCTGAAACATGTTAGCTGCTTAACATGCCGCCTCTGTGCTGCTGGAAATGAGCTGGGCTCCTTTGACGCTGACCTGTGGGACGACATTGTCACTATATTCTAGGTGGGGTCAGAGGTCAGCGGCTCATGTCTGCGTTACAGATAGTGGAGTTGCCATGTTTTGGTTCTGAACTGTTCTTGATAGACAAACATGCAAGAATGGGTGCCACGATGAGGGACATGATGGAAAGCAGATGAGTGTTGGGTCTGGATGGATGGTCTGCGTCAAATTCAAACATGCAACGACTGCTCAATTAAAAAGCGAAGACTGCCTTAAAGTAAAGCCTTTTAGGATTTTTTTTTTCTTTACAAGTTCTTGACAGATGTGGGGATGTGGTTATTTGGGAAGTTATAGGTTCGTAAATGAGCGCTAGAAAAAACATTTAGCTGTTCTGCTGCCCTCTTTCTTTGCTTTCACTTGTCGCTTAAAGCAGATGAGTGCGATAAAAGGGTCTTAGCAGGACAAACATTAAACACTTCTTAACATTTTCGTGACATCAGCTAAAACAAGGGCTCATATTTTGCCATCAAAGCTAAAGAGTTCACATGATCGCTTCATTAATCATCGTTCATCAGCAGGTGTGTTGGCACTTAAAAACAAACTCACACCCCCTAAACACACCTCGAATGACTTTCACAGCATTACATGCAAAAAAAAAAAAAAAAAAACCCAAACAGATTTTTATAACAACCTCCCAGCAGATTTGGAGTCTGCTGTATGGATCTCTGTGAGGATAATTCTTTATGGTTTATTGTATTTGTCCATCAGTTTGAGTCTGACGTTGAGTTTGATTTTGTGCTGACAGAACAAATTAAAGGTTTTCCTTCGCTGGGCTTAGATCAACAGTAATTTACAGACTCAGCCTGAGCTGAGTGAGAGGCTAACAATGTGATTCATCAACATGTGAAGGAAAGGAAAGCATGAAGCGCTGCATGTCAGCGGCTGGATCATAAATAAAGGGGAAAGTGTGGAGTTAAAGCTGCCCGTGTGTGTTTAGCTACCTTATTTTATGTTTAAAAAGAGTTATGAAGAATGAGTTCTGCTTGCATTACAGTTGGCAAACTTGGGAAAAAAAATTATAGGGGGAATGTTTTGTTGCCTGCAGCTTGTTTTTATGGAGGAGTTGTGAAGCTTTTGGTTTTATAAACAGATGAAACGGGGGTTTGAGGCAGCGATTTCCCCTTCCAAGTTCCAACCCACTGACTAACGTTAGACAAACACTGCTAATAAGTCCGTTCAACAAAGCCATGAAGACACAACAACCTAAAACAAAAAAAACAAATGTATTAATTTATGACAAGTATTATAATATTGTATTTTAACTAAGAAAACATGCTATGTGCTCAAACTCAATTTGATTTCTGGACATCATCTCAAGAGCCCCCCAGTGGTCCCAACCCCAACTTTGGGACCTTCTGAAAAT